GTAAAGTTCAGGCAGGCTTACTGCTCATTTGAGAAGATTTGGGGTTCCTAAGCTCAGGGTTCCTCCAATATGATGCGAGCCTGCTGCAGGCGCAGCATCCACCTGGACCCTCTGCATCCTCCCATGGGACCTGGGAGCAAGGGGACCAGATGAGCGTGTAGCTCATGCTGCTTGCCGTGCTCTGAGTAACGAAGTCCTTAGGAGCAAAGAGTCTTACGTAGGGGATCAGAACTGGCTCCGGGTTTTAAGAGATTCAGAAACTGGTAGGGAGGACAGATGCCTAAGTGACCAATCGTAGTGCATCACGAGACGCAGTATGAAAGTGGTTAAGAGCCAGGGACTCTGGAGTCAAACCACCTGGGTTCAGATCCTGTTTTGTATTTATCGCTTTGGGCAAATGACCTAACCTCTCTGTTCCGGTCACGTGTCCACGCCATGGGTGGAGATACACATAATGCTCTGAGTGGGGGAATTGCAAAGTCACACTGGAAAGGACATGTTATAGGAAAGGCTAAAGGATTGGGGAAATGCAATCTGCCACCACATCTAAAAAACCACTGGGGAGTTCTGTGGAAAAAAAAGAGACGATTTGCTTACATGTTATGGGGCCCACGTTGGCTGCTGTGAGGGGCAGAACCTGTCTAGCAGGAGGTTGCCGAGTGCCCTGGCCAAACCTTGGGATGGTCAGATTTTAAATTTGCTTCCGACTTCAGTGAAGTACAAAATGCTGTGCATGCATTTATCAGATTTTAAAATGAGTCTAAACAGCAAAATGTCAGCAAAGAGTGTTCAATAGTTAAGGGTATTGATTTTTCTTTAGTTTAGCTTTGTTTTTTTCCTGTAAGGTAGTAAATCCTAGCTGTCTCAGCACAGGTTTTAGGGGCTGACAAGCCTCGCGTTAAACCACAGCTCCTCCAACTAGCAGCAAGGTGACCTTGGGTACGTTACTTGACTTTTCTGTGCTTTGGTGTTTTTTATTTTTATTTTTCTGTACAAAGAGATTAATGATAACAAGACTTCACTCAGGGCTCGCTAGGTAGGTCCTGTCAGATAATGCGTGCCAAGCGCCACCTCAGTGCGTGGCCCATAAAAAGGAATGAACACAGAGCAGCAGTTACCTAATACAGATACTTATACCTCAATATTAGGCACTATTGTCAAACCACAGACAGTAAAACTATAAGGAAGTCACATTGTAATAACTGTATCATAGACAGGCTCTGGAGAGCTTTAGAAACAGTTCAGTTATGAAAGTTTTCTATCGTGGAAAAAATCTGCAGATAAAGGCAGAACGCAATGAGCGGATATTTGTCTCCACAGCATTCCAGTGGAAAAGGGCATACTCTGTTCTATTTGAGGTTCAGCATATTATTATCCTTTCTTGAACTTCTTTCCTTGCAGGATATAGGCTTATTCAGTTTGCAAAAAGCTGAGCTTAGGAGGGGCTACTGGGAAGGTTGTAAAAAAAAAAAATTGCCAGAGCCAAGCTAATCTGCTGGAGAAACAACAGCAGAGCTCGCCGTGAGCTGATTACACAGATAAATCAAAACCTCATGGAGATGAGCCAAGGCGTGCTCCGGTTATGTAATCACCAAATTGCTACCTGTCACTGAGCAGCATAAATGGCGGGCACTGGTGGGACAGAAGAGGAATCCAAGGTACCCTGCATGCGAGCACTTTTCCTGGATGGGGGTAATCACCCAGAGGGGCACTTCAACCACCTTCCTGCCTTCTTCCACTGCCAAGAGTAAAGAATAAACATTTGTGTTTTTAAAAATTCAGTAAGCATTTGTTGAAAAGCTTGGTATTGTATAAAGTGCCAGGGAGCAAGGAGGACAGGTGCTGCCCCCAGGGGCTCCCAGGGCAAAGGGAACCCCAGCAGGAGGGTCTGCCCTAGGCTCCTGGGGCAAAAAAGTCCTTTATCACAGCTCGAAATCCCATACATCTTCAAATCAGGCTATAGTATTAAATTAATGCATCAAAGCATCAGGGTGTGATGAGAAGAAAAAAGACTTTAGAGTTAGGGAGACCTGGCTTTAAATGTCAGCTCTGTCACGTGTGAGCTGTATGACTTGGGCTTCTAACTTTAGAGCCTCTGTGTCCTCACTGATGGTATCATGAAGATGAGAATAGCCTTTGCTCTGTGAATCAAAGAGATAAAGTGTCCATTCTGTGTTAAGTGTCCAGGGGAGGAGAGCTTCCCAATATGCATGCATGACTGACTTCTCGTGGCTGTAGGAGGGTAGCACTCAGATGTTACTACCAGTCATAGCGCTGGTCAGTGCAAAGGTCCTGGGGCAGGAGTCGGGGCCAGGCCTTCCTCTTCCTACAGCGTGACTTTGCCAGCTGTATTATATAATCTATGATCTATAATCTGTGAAATGGTGGTAATAATAGTATCTCCCTCATAACCTTTTTTCCGTTTTTAAATGAGGTGAAGACCTGAGAGCAATGCCTGGCTCCATTTTCACCCATTTCGGGTGCGAGGCAGTTTAGGCTTATGGTTCAGAGCATGAGCTTGGAGTCAGTGGAGTCAGAGCTATTGCATTTTCTGTGAAAAGCTGGACAAGCTGCTTAACCTGTTCACCCTCAGTTTCTGCATCTGCATAATGCACCCAATAATATCCTTTTGCAATTAAAAAGGAGAGAATGACATGTTTGTTAAGGGCTTAAGCTAATCTCTGATAATTGAGAGTTGGGAGAGGGACTCAATAAACTCTGTCGTTAGGAAGAGTAACATGGAAAGGTGGGAATTCTCTGTTCATGGAGGTTTTCGATAAATCAGATCATGTTGCTTCCACATTTTAAACACAAGACTTTTATCTCTTTTTAACAAATGCTGAATCGAGTTGGGGATTATAGATGTAGAATACTCTGTCTACACCCTCGTGACGCCGTCATTGGCTCCATTACCCTGCACTCTTTTGTCTAATGTAGTTACTCACCACTGGAGTTCCGAAGCTGGACTTCGAGACGGTGACTCTCTACTCCTTGGTAATCTATGCCAAAGACAGCCACGGGGCGACGGCATCCCAGGCCATTCTAATCCAGATTGCGGATGTGAACGAGCCGCCCACCTTCAGGGGAGCCCTTGCTCAGAGAGACCAAGGTACAGAGCTCTCCTCTTGGGGGAAGAAGGGTCCACTGGGCCCATAGTGTGGCTGCTGTGTCCTGGGTCCTTTGTGCTCTCGTAGGGTGATGGCTATAGGAGAGATAAGGAGAATGATGCTAACAAAAGGAATGCTAAAGGGCTGGCACCTACCGGGTGATAACTGTGGGGCAGGTGCTGTGCTGAGAGTGAGGGCCTCAGGCGGGTTAGTTCATGAAATTCGCATAGCTCTGGAGGTGGGGGCTGTTCATATTTGTATTGTTTTTTTTTTTTTTAATATATTTTTTATTGATTTTTCACAGAGAGGAAGGGAGAGAGATAGAGAGTTAGAAACATCAATGAGAGAGAAACATCGATCAGCTGCCTCCTGCACATCTCCCACTGGGGATGTGCCCGCAACCCAGGTACATGCCCTTGACCGGAATCGAACCTGGGACCTTTCAGTCCGTAGGCCAATGCTCTATCCACTGAGCCAAACCGGTTTTGGCCATATTTGTATTGTATAGATGAGGTCACAGACTCAGAGAAGAAAAATAACTTGCTCAGTATTAAAAACTTTATTTTTCTGCCCTCGCTGGTGTGGCTTAGTGGATAGAGCGTCGGCCTGCAGACTGAAGGGTCCCAGCTTCAATTCCAGTCAAGGGCACATACCCGGGGTGTGGGCTCGATCCGCAGTAGAGGGCGTGCAGGAGGCGGCCAATCAATGATTCTCTCTCATCTTTGATGTTTCTATCTCTCTCTCTCCCTCTCCCATCCTCTCTGAAATCAATAAAAAATATTTTTAAAAACACCTTTATTTTTCTGTTTGATTATTATGTACTCTAGTTACTCTTTTATGGGTGTGATTATTTAGTTAACAGTGTGTCTGTATCATTAAGTTAGAAGCTTCTCGCTCTCCCTCCATTTGATTTTCGCCTCATGGGAATATTTCTCTCACTCTTGTCTCTGTCTTTCTCATCTCTGACTTCCTATGTAGTCAAGTGTTTAACACCTGCATGTGGACGAGTCATGTTCTCTATTGAAAACAATCACTTGAGCCGAAACAGGTTTGGCTCAGTGGATGGAGCGAAAGGTCCCAGGTTCGATTCCGGTCAAGGGCATGTACCTGGGTTGCGGGCACATCCCCAGTGGGGGGTGTGCAGGAGGCAGCTGGTCGATGTTTCTCTCTCATCGATGTTTCTAACTCTCTATCTCTCTCTCTTCCTCTCTGTAAAAAATCAATAAAGTATATTAAAAAAAAAAAAAAAAGAAAACAATCACTTGAGGTTTAGGTGTGGGGGTGGCCACACATGGGAGAGAGCTATGGATCCTGCCTGAGCCTCAGTTCCTCATTGGGCACACAGGTATTAATCCCTACTCCATGGAGCTCACCCGAGACAATGTGTTACCCTGCCCACCATGGGCATGCAGAAGGTGCTGAGTAAATGTGAGCCTTCTTCCATCCCTTTACCTAGCAGATGAGAAACTCCTCAAGGACAGATTCAAGGGGAAATTGTGTTTTTTTTCCTTTTGAAACAGTGAGCCTCATGCCAGGTTGGCTGTGGTCCAAACAGGCTGTGGACTCCTTTGCTATCCACAAATCGTGCTGCCTGGCAGAATGATGCGGTAGCTTCTGCTGGGGTGGGTTATCCCTTCAGGCACTGAGGGTCCCGGTGCCCCAGTGTTCTTGACTCAGGGAGAGTGGTTTGACCAGTAAATGGGCAAGTTTGTGGTTGCCACAGTTTTAAAAATGGATAGAAAGAGGGAAAACTTGAGGAAAAGACAGGCATTAATAAAATCATCAGACAATATTAATATACTAGAGGCCCTGTGCACGAAATTCGTGCATGGGTAGGGTCCCTAGGCCTGGCCAGTGATCAGGGCCAGCCGGGGCCTTCCTTCCAGCTGTTGGCTGCCGGCCTCGGGGCCTTTCTTTGTTCTGCGCCACCCCCTGGTGGTCAGTGCATGTCATAGTGAGCGATCAAACTCCCCGGTCAAACTCCCGAGGGGACAATTTGCACATTAACCTTTTATATATATAGATTACTTGGGTGACTTTAAGTGAGTTGCTCAATCTTTCTAAACTCAGTAAAATGGGAATAATAACGTACCAATGATGTCAATTGCTCAGCAATCAGAAAACATTCAATATGGTTACTGTTTAACTTTATAAACCTCTTTGCTCTCTACCTGACACACGATAGATACTTGACAAATGGTGTCTATTTTTATTATATGGCTATGATTATCATGGTTAATGAGAATCACCCTGTGAAAACGTCTGTGCTGAGCAAGCACAGTGCCTTCAGTTTTACCTTAAATCCAGGAGTGGATGAGGGGCTTTGGAGCTGACAACATCTATCACCCATTTTCTGGCAGTTACTGAGATTTATATCCTGGAAGACACTGCCCCGGGCACAGTCATTTACAGAGCAGCAGCCGCGGATCCAGAGGATGCTGTTTTGGAGGTAATTTATGGCTTGGGGCAGAGATATCAGCGCCTGGTGGTTTTCTGTATGGCTGCATTCACGCATAAAACCGCAGGGATACTCAGTGCATTCTACCACAATTCAGGGTCCAAACATACCTTTCACCTCAAACATCAGGACATTTTAGGTGAAATGATTGAGGGATGGGCTGTCTGGGTAATTGCTTCCCTTCTAGCACATTCCACCTGTGCAGGCAGGGCCAGCGAGTCCTTAGGTATTGACAGAAGAGGCCGAGCCATTTCCTCTTGTTCTTGGGGACCCTGGCTACCCGCACACTGTGGAGAAACAATGCAGCTTTCTGACGGGATTAATTTGCATTTCACAACGTTGGGCCTCCTCCTGTCCTCAGGCTTCATGATGCCCCAGGCATGCAGTTGTTTTCAGGGTGGGTGTCTTCCAGTTATGATGCCATGGGAGGGAGGGAGGAAGTGATCACCTGTGGCAAGAGGCTTGGCTTTAACTCCTCACTCTTCTGCTGCAAGTCATTTAACATTTCTGCCCTGTTTCAGCTGTAAAGTTGCGGAAAGGCTACCTGCTTTGTCTTCTCTCCTATTGCTTTCTCTCCTATTGCGTATACTGAACTTGAAAGTCATTTTTAAACTGTAAAATACCTTACAAATGACAAAATTTATATCACTGTCTTAATTTTTGATGCCGTGTGGAATGGTTTTGGCATTATTAAGCGGTAACATTGTTAGCTAATGGACTGGTAGATAAGAATATTATGTTTTTAATTTTTAATGTTGTATCCTTTTCCCAAATTGGCCAAAAATTAGAGAGTTGTACATGTTGATCTATACTTTCAACATTTGCAATTTACTGGTGGTGCTACTGGGTTACTGTTCAAGGCAACTTGACTTTTACAACATTTTATTTAAATAAATGGATGGCCACTAATATTTGGGGCGTTGCCCACATGATTTTTAAAAGCACTGCATACACTCAAGTAATTACACACAAAAACCACTGCTGTTGCCAACCCTCCCCGCCCACGTGCCTCCTCCTCCTCCCAGTAGAACAATACCACATCCAGAATGGGACTGGAAAGGTCACAGCTTCCTTTACAACATGCAATTAAGGCTCCTAATCATGCATATTGCTCCAAATCACCACGTTCAAGATTACAGTACTGAACCTAGAGCCGAGCAACTCCAGCCATAAGAGAATCGGGTATCATATTGCTTCCTTGGTGTTCTCCATGGCAGCTCACCACCATGTTGACATTCTAGGGTGGGAAGCACAGCATGGCCCAAAAGGGTTTAGCTATGCCTCTGACATGCAATTACAAGGACTTACTAGCCAATTAATGCAAGTAATTTGTTTCAAATGAAGGACTACCAAACGCCTGTTCATATAGAGTAAGTGCTCTGGCCCTGGCTCTGTACTTTTCTTAGAAGAGAAGTTTCCAGGGCCGTGTTTGGAAGGCGAATGCAGTGTTCTTTGTGAATTTTACCAAACGTGGAATGACATGTTAGAGCTGGCATAGGCTATGGAAACTTACATTTAGACATATTCCTATACACACTCTTCTGACACAGTAGATCAGACCTCATGTGTTATTCAAGCACTCATGACGGGGCAATCTTCATTTGCTTGAGTCTTCATATTGATTCGAAGAAAAATTTGTTCTAATCTGGGCAAGAGCTCAGCACTGTTTGGAGCCTGATGTATGACACAAATAGTGCAATTAATAACTGTTAACTGTTTATCATGTGACAGGAATATACTCTATATAATTGAATCCCCATTTAACTCCTGAAGTAGATGCTATTGTCTACTCTGATATTAATGAATGGATCAATAAGCTAGAGTATTATGTCTTTAATTTATAGATTAGGAATATTTAGGTAAATAGAGCTCAAGTAATTTGCCAAAAGAGTAAGTAGTGGAGCTGTAATTCAAATCCATTTTGCTCTAAACCCTGTATGTTTCCCATCATACCAATAATCTCAAATTGCTTCCACAAAACATAAACTCCATGAGAAAAATAAAAGATCCTGTGATCAAATGATTTCGGGAAATAATGTCTCCACATCTCCTCTAAATTAAAAATGCATGTGTTAAATGCCCTGAGGACTTCTCTAATAGAGAGATGTTTATTTAATTATATTTTAAAAATTATTTTTTCCAGGGCACTTTTAAATAAAATTTAACTCCTGTTAGTGTTTTACATAATGACTAACTAGCATTTCACAGAGTAGAAAGATTATATTAGATCCCATTGGAAGATTGCTATAATGTGACCTATCTCTGGGGTTGTTATAATGATGAAAGATGAAATTTGAGGTGAGGATCTGATCTATAGTAATTTATGTAATAAGACTGGATTTCATCCATATCTAGACCCCACCTAAGTTCCAGGACTAAGACTTTTCATGCTGTACCACCATTGCTACTGCACATATTTTAAGATCCCTGATCCTCTAGTTAAGGGGGTGTTCTGAGATAGGGGAAAAGTGGCACCTCTCATTATGAACTAAAAATCAATTAATGAACTAAAAATCAGTTTTCTTGGACATATCACGGCAGACCAGGACTCCAAAATCTGGAGGGACAGTTGAATCCAGAGAGTCACAGGAAGTTGTGCTTCCTTGAAGCAGAAACTGTCAGACCTATAACTTGTATGAAGACTTACATGGTCGTTTGGATGAAATGCCAGAGGCTGAGGATGGACTAGTATGAGAGTGAGAAATTTCTGGGTGCACAATCTCAGGGGGACTTACACTTTTCATAGGTTTGTACCACCAGAATTACATCAGGTTCTTAT